CGGGCGTGGTAGTGCATGCCTGTAATTCTGGCTACTTGGAAGGCTGAGGCGGAAGGATCGCCGGAGCCCAGCAGGTCGAGGCTGCGGTGGTGAGACTCTGCCTCAAAACAAAACAAAACAAAAGGAAAGACTATGTGTTTGCGCTTAACTAAGAAACCCCATGTATTTTCACAATAATTGATATGTTAAACAGGGTGGGCCATAGGTTATTTAGTGCCACTCCCTAGAGATGGCCATCTCCACTTTTTTTTCACTTTGTCACCCAGACTGGAGTGCAGTGGCTGCTCCCGTCCCCCGCAGCCTCGACCTGCTGGCTTCCAGTGAACCTTCCGCCTCAGCCTTCCAAGTAGCTGGAACTACAGGTGCGCGCTATGATGCCCAGCTAATATTTTGATTTATTGTAGAGATGAGGTCTTGCCAAGTTGCCCAGGTGGATCTCAAACCTGCGGGCTCAGGCAATCCACTCACCTTGGCCTCCCAAAGCGTGGGATTACAGTCTGAGCCAAGGAGCTCGGCTTATCTTCACTTTTGATGGGAAGAGAGGGAGGAGGGGTGGTCTTTTCCAGACCTTGTCTTCTTTTGCAGGAGACTTGCAGATGTTTCCAATTAACACGTTCTTGAGCTAAAGGGTGGTTTTATTATCATTTCTATGACTTTGGTCAGTTAAGGGGTGGTATTTGGCCTGTTGCCTTCCCTCCGGGAGCCTAAAAGTTTTTAGTGATTGTTATGCTAAAACATTAGCTGAAAGGCTGGATTGTCCTATTTTTTTTTTTTTTTTTTTTTTTTTTTGAGTTGGAGTCTCCCTGTCACCTCATTTGAGTGCAGTGGCCACTCCGACCACCACAGCTTCAACCTGCTGGGCTCCGGCGATCCTTCCGCCTCAGCCTTCCAAGTAGCCGGAACTACAGGCGTGCGCTACCACACCAAGCTAATTTTTGATTTATTGTAGAGATGAGGTCTTGCCAAGTTGCCCAGGCAGGTCTCAAACCCGCGGGCTCAGGCAATCCACACACCTCGGCCTCCCAAACTGCTGGGATTACAGGCTGAGCCACCGAGCCTGGCCTGGATTGTCCTATTCTTATATCTGATTTTTTTTCCTGAGGGAATGAGGTAGGCTGCCATGGCCTGAAGTAAAATGTTTTATTTGTTTATTTATTTATTTATGTTTTTTTTTTGTTTTTGTTTTTGTTTTTTTGAGTTGGAGTCTCACTCTGTCGCCTAGACTAAAGTGCAGTGGCCGCTCCTGGCCACCGCAGCCTCGACCTGCTGGGCTCCGGTAATCCTTCCGCCTCAGCCTT